CAGTATTGAAATCAATGGTCCACCTTTTATTTTCAATATTTCCTTTTTGTTTAACTTTTCCTCAATACACAAGCAATGTTTCCATCCATTAATTGATTTCGTCAATCTTACCTATCTTTTTGACTCATCAAAATCCAATTCTAATAGTCTAATTAATAGGAATGCCTCAAAATAGCTCTGTAGATTTGGAGTTCCCCAAACTCCATTCTCTTCTGGGGAATATAATTAATATCAAGTTAGAGATTCCTCTCTTGTTAGCCCCTGCTATCCAACATTTAATTAAGTTGCACCATTTCTTTATTTTGCATGGAATGTTACATGGTAGCATTTGAAAAAGGAATAAAATTGTGGGTACAATCTTCATGGGAATCACATGGCATGTGAATTTCATGAAGCCCTGGCCCTTAAGAACTAGGGAGCTCAGGGCCTGATTCGTCTTCTTTAGTCCTTAGGGGAAGGAGAGAAATCTCACAATTAAATCACTGTCTTGAAAAATATGTGTGATTTGTTAGAATTTGTCTTTTTGGTTTAAGGAGTATGCTCTATGCAGTCATGATTAATGCTAAATGTATCATGATTAAGATCACCTATTCCTCTTGGAACAGGTGATCTTGACCTAGCAAACTTACTTCAGATTCGTGCTGTTCTTGGGGTGGTAGGGATGATGTCATGAATGGTGACTCATCTTTTAAACAAGTTAGAATCTATGTACATGATCATAGAGTCACAGAATTACAGAGTTGGCGGAGACCGCAAGAGTCATGTAATCCAAACTCTTTCTAGCTGTGTCACCTGACATCTTTCTTGATAAAGAAGAAAAAAGAAATTCTGGGACAGAATGCCTAAAAGCATGTTCCTTACAGAAATCTCCTCTGGCAAAGTTATTTCGCCCAGTGGGTAGTAAGCAGTTTGTGCACTTTTTCATAAAAACGCCATTTTATATCATTTGTATACTAGGACATTCCAAATTACACTAAAATAGTTTTCTATTATTGGGCTTTGTGATTCTGTAGCTGAGTGTGCATATGCAGCTGATTTATCATAGACAAAGCCAACACCATGCAATAGATGCGATGATTAGAGTCCATTTAAACAGAAGAATAGCTTTGGCCTGTCTGTCTGTCTATCTAACAATCATATAACTGCAATGCTGAAAAATTCTGATATTCTGCACATGGCATACTTACACACATACATATAATATAAAACATTTTCTATGGCTACATGTAAGGCTATAAACAGTAGAATAGCTTTGGTCTGCCTGCCTGCCTGTCTACCTGTTTAACAATCATAACTGCAATGTTGAGAAATTCCGACATACTGCACATGACATACTTACTCACATACATCTATATAAATAAAAATGTAATGTTCGTTTGTGGGATTAACATAACTCAAAAACCGCTGGATGAATTAACACCAAATTTGGACAAAATACACCTATCAGGCCAACAAGTGACCATCACTGATGAAAACACTGAAAAACACAGCAGAAGACACTTTAAAAGCCAAAAATGCAAAAGGACACTACAGCGCATGCGCAAAACCACATATACACACACATATAGACATATATATATATATATATACACAAAACACATATACACAGATTGGACCACAGCAACGCGTGGCAGGGGGCAGCTAGTATAATATAAAACATTTCCTATGGCTACAAGTAAGGCTGTGCACCAGGCATGGGCAAACTTTTTTGCCTTGGAGCCGCATTGTGGGCCTGACCAAGAGGACCAGGCTCCTGGGCACATGCTGGGTGGGAATGGGCCTGGGAGGGACAGGGCCTGTGAGAGGGTGGAGCTGGAAGGGGGTGGGGCAGAGCCTGGGTCATACCCAGGTTGTCTCCTGGCAAAAGGATGGAGTTGCTGCTGGGAGGAAAACGAGACATGTGGCGACTGCCCTGATTCCCTTCCCTCCCCTGATCTTTGGGTTATTCTCTCAGCATTATGCTGGAAGGGGAGGGTGAGACAAGGGAAAGCTGAGAGTGCTCCAGAGGACTCTCAGACACTGTGTGCCTTCATTGGGCCGTCATTTCAGCATAAGGACAGGACCACTCGCACCATCTCTATGCTGGGAGGAGGGCGAAATAGACTGTGGCTGAGAGTGCTCCAGAGGACTCTCAGCTACTGCATGCCTTCCTCCCCCATCATTTCTGCATAAGAATGGGATGGGCCACCATGTCCTTATGCTGAGAGGACAGGGAAAATGAGGAGGGCCTGAGGTAAGCGCCCAGGGGGCTGCAACTGGCTCCCAGGCTTTAGTTTGCCCATGCCTGCTATACACTGTTGTTTTGCATGGCTGTAAGGCACTTCTGATTTATCATGATCCTAAAACAAACCTGTCTTGGTACGATTTACCCAAAGTGGGGTTGCCATTACTTTCTATAGCAGAGAGGTTTGCCTATGTGGTTTGCCTATGGTCACCCTGTGAGTTACCATGGCTAGATGGGGATTTGGACTCTTGGAGTAAGAGACCTGCATTCAAACCACTACACCACATTGGCTCTCAAAGTGTTTCATATACTTGAGAAGCTCAAAGAAAATATGGGTGTTTGTTTGTTGTTGGTTTCCCAGGCATTATGAATTTATTGAAAATAAATGTGGAAGAAAGAGAGGATGCTAGAATCATCCATTTAATTGTTTCTGTTTACATGGGAATAATTAATTTCTAAAGGTTAGAGTTTCTGCTAATTGTGGAAGCTTCTCCCCTATCTGGAAGGACTTACTTTTCCAGGGTTCCAAACTACATGCAGTGTTTCCAAGGATAAAGAAAGCTCTTGTCAGAAAACAGTTCTACGTGTAAGGAGAACAGGGAAGAGAGGGATAGGACTATACCCCCCATCTTGTGTGTTTACTTATGTCCAAACACTGCCATTATATTCCCATGAATGAAAACTATATGCAAAAACCTTGAAATCTCTTCCACCTCACCTGTACCAGACAGATTGGTAAGCACATCAATAGAAGGATAGATGCTCTATTCAGATGTTCAGTATAAGCAAGGCAGTCCTTCACCTTTCAATCACATGGAGAAGCTGCAAATGTATAGGGCATGTTTCTTTTCTGTCAATCATTCTGAATGTGAAGAAAGTGATGACTGATACTGTGCTCACTTTTTCATGGGTTAGCCCAGTTCTGGTTGCCTAAATAAGGTTTTACAGATATAAATAAAGAGTATCCTCATTTTTTTTGTCATGTCAGAAGTCGCTTCTGGTGTGAGAGAATTGGCCATCTGCAAGAAAGTTGCCCAGGGGACACCCGGATGATTTTGATGTTTTTATCATCCTTGTGGGAGGCTTCTCTCATGTCCCCGCATGAGGAGCTGGAGCTGATAGAGGGAACTCATCCGCCTCTCCCCGGAATCGAACCTGCGACCTGTCGGTCTTCAGTCCTGCCGGCACAGGGGTTTAACCCTCATAAAAAGGTACATACCCTTTAACAGATACAATGATTGTTTGAAGGTTAAGGCTGCTTCTACATAGCCATTTAAACTGGTTCAGGATATGGACCTGGTTTCCCACGGAGTACCTACACCCCAAGAACCAGCTGAAAGTTGGGGCGGTAGCCACAAAGGTACACTTATTGTGGATCAACCCAATGTTATTTCTGGCTGGATGTACATTGCAGCACACACTGGGGATGTTCATTTTGTAGAAATCCAGATCTCTTGGCAGCTTGGAATTAGATTTCAGTGCTTGTATAGAAGGGCCTTAAGAATGTAAAATAAATGTTGTCATAATGATTTAATCAGCATTACAAACTCCACCTGAAGTTCCAATTTCATCAAGTGGTGCAAAGCTGTATTTTTCTCATTTTTTATACCCAAAGTTGAAACCTCACATAGTTTCCCATGTAATCTCACAACAATTCTCTACTATTGGGAATCTGTAATCCTGTAAAAGATGTATACATTATTTGAAAAAAAATGCAAAAATATATTCCAGACTAATAGACTCTTAAATTTGTATACATTTTGGGACAGTCTGTAATTCAGACATATTTATGCCATGTTGTTGTTTGCCTTCACATTGTTTTCTGGTTTTGGTGTCTCATTGCAACACACTATAGTTGCAATGAGACACCAGAACCAGTAGCTGGTTTCCATGGTTGAGTGAAAATTTGAATCCTGGTATCCTAGATCCCTAGTTCAACACTCAACCCAGTGCATCATGCTGGAATTCTGCATATTAATTTCAGTATTTGCTTTAATATTAACATATGCAGTATAACCCCTATACCTGCAGTTTCACTTACCTGTATCCAACAAAAAATGTCCCTTCTGGGAATTTTCTAGGTTGTCCAGGTGAATCTATATATACATTGAAAGTTACTATAGTGTTGGTTTGAAGGAACTACAGGATACCTCTCTAGGATTTTTATAGGTCCTTCACTATGATCCTTTGGTAACATCCCGTGGAAGTTACTCATTTTGATATGGTCCACAGTTTTCTGTTCCCATGGTAAGTTCAGGAAAATGGCGTGTCATAGTGTGGTTTGGTCTGAAAGTGCACCTGAGGTTTTAGTATTACAACCAATGCTCCATTTGGGGGGGGGGGGGCAGGGGAAAAACCCTGTCTTCCTCCCCTCCCAAATGTTCTGGGTTTTTTTCAGGCCTTCCCTTCTCTGTTTGGGAGACACATGTGAGGGAAACATCTGGTGTAGACTTATGGCAATCATTTAATTTTACTTTCCAGCTTCAGGTCTTTTGGCATACAACTGGCACACATCTTGCTACTAATACCTTGGAATTATAAAATTTTATGGCTGGAAAAGCTGCAAAGTCTTTCTAGACCAGCCTCCTGCCATGCTGGAATAGACAATTACAGCACTCCTAAAAGACACACACTAAACATTTATTTAAAGCAGGGTTTCTCAACCAGGATTGCTTGTAATCCTAAGGTTTCATAAAAGGTGTCTAGGGCTTCGTGATCGAAAAATATAAATGGGATGATAGCAGAACCTTGATAGCAATTAAATTCATTCACAAGGAAGCCTTGGAAATTTCTTTAATGCAAGGTTACTACTATACAACAAAGTTACAAATGAAGAAAACATGGGCAACTTCTCAATTCAATACGCCCAAAAGCCCCACCCCTCAGGTCATGAAAATTGAAGGTGCTTGGATGGAATAGTTTGATTTATATCTTTACAAGCCAGTCATGCAACAAACCTCTCTAGAAACAACTTTGCAGAGTTAACTTTTTCAGGCAATCATTGCCTATCAAGAGATAATACTTTATGTTGTAGCACAAAGAACATTAAGTAAAATGCTCAGAAGATGTAAAATGGTATGTAACAGATGTCATACTATAGCTCACAGTGTTGTGGGGGAAACAGGATTTAGTTCAGTAGTTCTTCCAAAGTTAAAATCCTTTTATGCATTTGCTATTCCATTTTGTTTGGAAGAATAGCTCAAGTAACAAGTCTTTTCTACCCTGATAATCTCCACTCTCGCTACTTTAAAAGACAAAGATATGCTTTTAGGAGACATACCCATGATTTGGATTTTGCACATATTGACAGGGCAACCTGTATGGGGTGTGGAAGCAAGAAAAGGTATAATCTGTAATTCAGCCCTCCACATTTTGAGACCATGAGTCCACCTTAATTATACAGATTGCTCCTGATAATTGAAAATAGATTTGCTCCAAAATCAAGCCAACAGATTTTAATGAGATTTACACATGTATTCATAGAACCACATTCATGCAGTTCATTTTCTTCCTATTTTTTAAACGAGTGAAAGCATTTTATATATTGGCAAAAGTGGCTAAAACTACAGCATTAGTCCCTTTCAATTAAACATTTCCATCCAGAATAGTCAAACTTTCAATACTAGATGTCTCCACATTTAACACTGGTAGATAAGAGAATTAAGCTAGTTGCATTTTCCAAGAACTGATCATATGATGTATCTGCTGAAATTCCTTTTCCCCTATCAATGTGAAAAAAGAAGCCCTGTTACAGAAAAGTACATTATTTTCTTATTCACACTATCTAAATAAATAACCCTTTAATATAAACTTGTACAATTCTTGCTGCTGTTTTCACAACCTACATGAACTCAACTTTGATAAAGTTGCTACTGTAAAGTATAAAAGGGGAAGAAAAATCACAGCAGCTCCCCCTTAACACTTTCTGGTCTTTAATCCTTTCTTTGATCATTGCTAGAAAAACCTCTATTTTCTCTTTGGACCATATGCATTTGGCACTATATTTGGTTGTGTTTAGGATACTTTGCTTCAGAGTTAACCTTGTTCAATGCCTTTAAAGACAATAGTGGGCTAACATATCAGAGCAGGTACTATCCTGAACTCAAGCCGAAACAGCAGCAAACCATTTCCTTGAAGGTCTTCCGCATCTCCAGACTCCGGAAAGCATAAATAATCGGGTCAATGACTGAGTTGCACATAATAAGAACCAGGTATGTGTTAAAGTGTGAGATGTAGCAAAAACAGTGTGGGTTGGTGGGGCAAGAAATGATGAGGATGAGATGAAGGAAAAAAGGTCCCCAGCAGACAATGAAGACCCCAAGGAGGATGGTGATAGTGACAGCCCCTTTCATACAAGTACGCTGCTGGGGCACATCATCCACTGGGAAGGCTGCAATGCGCTTGATATGCAGACGTGCAAACATGAACATATGAACATAGAGTGAGGCCATGAGGAAAAGCATGGTAAAGAACATGGCAATGAGGCAAATAATAACTGTTTTGCTCTCAGAGTAGATGATGAAAGTGATGCCACAACAGATACAAGCAATCCAGATCATTCCAATGAGGGCCAGAGCTTTCTTCACTGTCATGATGCTGTGGTAACGAAGTGCATAGAAAATGGTGATGTACCTGTCAATAGCTATGACCAAAAGGTTGCATATTGAGCCAATTAACGAGATACAGATCATTGAGTCAAAGACATTGTCCATTGGTTGGATGTAGTGACTATTAATGTTTAAATAGCCATTCTCCAGGAGGACGATCATGATAGTTTCCAGACTGTTAGATATGCTCACCAGCATGTCAGCTGCCGCCAAGCTGCAAAGGAAAAAGTACATGGGGGAATGTAGATTTCTATTTTTGATCACTGCAAGGATGACAAAGATGTTCTCCAAAAGGCCGACGATCCCCAGTGACAAGAATACATCAGCTTTGATGAAGACCAGTTCACAGACTCCATCCTCATCCCTGTTGCTGTAAAGTGCCGAACCGTTAACCTCTTCAGGCTGAAATGTTAGATTCCAGTGTATAGTCGTGTTCATTATTGAGCTAGATATTCTGGTTTACAAGCAATTGTGGGAACGGTGTCATTGAAACAGAAAGTTCTTCATAAATACCACAGGGCTCTTCAGTGAATGAGATCAAACAGGAGACGTCTTGCAAAACGTCCTCTATTCAGTTCGGATGTCTGAACCGATTACTCCATGGAGTTGTTTGTTGATTCACAGAGTTGTTTGTTCCCTCTTAAGTGAAATCAGGCGATACAGCAAATGCTGCAAATAGTTCTCGAAGAAAGATGAAACTGTGGTAATGACAGCAGCCTCTCTTTCATAATTCACCTGTTGATCTCAAGTGAGCGCTTTGCGAGCTGATCCCACGTCCTGGGACTGCTGCTGTCCCGGAGGTTCAAAAGCACTTCACAGCATCTTTTCTTGATTCATCTGTGAGGCAAGAACAAGAACAGAATCAAAAAGCGCTGGGTTTTATACATTCATGAATGAGGGAAAAACACTCCTACTTAATCTTCTGTGTCTTACAATGACCACTGGAGAGCAAGTACCTCTTTGAGTGACAGCTCAAATTGCAAGCTGCAGAACCCCCATTGATCGGGATTCTATAGTTAGATACAAAATCATATGGCGCCCTCTGCAGATCCAAGAGAAAATCTGTAGACATTTTCTAAAGTCTGGTGTTAGTTTACAATAAACTTTACAATAACGAACATATTGAATATAGGAAAATGACATGTTAGGATGCTTCCAGTTAGACAGTTCCTAACTATCAATCAAGAGATACGGCAGCTATCCAGTCTTCACCTATTGTTTTGGAAGCAAGAAACAGTGGGAAAAATATTGTTAGTAATTGCCATCAAGTAGACTCTGATAGAAACAGTGATCTGCAAGCCTGTAAGGATGTCATAAGAGGTATCCTGCCTTCCTGAGGTAAACATCTGTGATATAAAAAGAGAATGAAAAGACTTGTCAACCCCACTGACTGCTAACACTTTCTTTTGGTCCACCTCAAAGCAAAGCCTTTAGAGATATGTTTTAATATATTATTTTATATAATGTTTTATATGATTATATGTTTTTAGCAATGTTGTAACTTCCTTGAGGCCTAAGGAGAGGCAGGTAAGAAATAAAATAATAATAATAATAATAATAATAATAATAATTATTATTATTATTATTTAGAACACCACAAAGGATTGTATTGTCAAAGGCTTTCATGACTGGAAACACTGGGTTGTTGTAGATTTTTCAGGCTGTATGACCATGTTCTAGAAGCATTCTCTCCTGACGTTTCTCCTTCATCTGTGGCAAGCATCCTCAGAGGTTTCCACAAACCTCACAACCTCTGAGAATATGCAGGTGAAATGTCAGGAAAGAATGCTTCTAGAATATGGCCATACAGCCTGAAAAACCTACAACAATCCACAAGGGATTATGAGGCTTAAGGTAGGAGGCTGAAGTGAGTTCTTTAATCTCTCATCCCAGGTGAAGTACAAGGCACTGGAAGAGAGAAAGGAATAGTAGAGGTAAACTGGTATCACAAATAGTGCTGCCAGGAATGATTTGGCTTTTTAGACCATGGTTTGTGGTTTCATGAAGATGGACTAAGCTCTCATCTTTTGCCACTCTATTCAGAAAAGGGGTGGTTCCTTTTTTTATAAGAAGGAATGCCCCTGGTAGTGCAGTGGGTTAAACCACTGAGCTGCCGAACTTGCTAACCGAAAGGTCGCAGGTTCGAATCCGGGGAGTGGCGTGAGCTCCCTCTATTAGCCCCAGCTTCTGCCAACCTAGCAGTTCAAAAACATGCAAATGTGAGTAGATCAATAGGTATCGCTCAGGTGGGAAGATAACGGTGTTCCAAGTAGTCATGCCAGCCACATGACCTTGGAGGTGTCTACCGACAATGCCGACTCTTTGGCTTAGAAATGGAGATGAGCACTAACTCCCAGAGTCGGACAAAACTGGACTTAATGTCAGGGGAAAACCTTTACCTTTTAGAATAACAGTGGCCTATATATGAGTTTTGACTAAAATTTGTAGAGTTATACATGAGTACATACAGTAATTTTCTAGGAGGTAGGATCAAATTTCAAATGACCATAACAGATTAGGGAGCTGGGCCAAATGAACCAAATTAATTCCAATGTAGAGTACTTAGGCAGAAAAAAATTGAAATGTATCGATATAGGATGGGTGACATCTGGATTGACAATAATATATGTGAAAGGGATCTAAGAGTCTTACATGAGCCAATATCTGACGTGACAGTTTAAAAATTCAATGCAGTTTTAATCTGCATCAATGGGAGTATACTGTCTCGATTGATGGAAAAAAAATAATTGTACTGTATTCTGATCTGGTCACATTTTACCTGAAATACTGTGTTTGATTTTCAGCACCACCATTCAAGGTCAATATTGACATTCTGGCAAAATGTCTGCAAACCATACCTTATGAGGAATGGCTTGAGGATTTGGGTATGTTTAAACTAGAGAAGAGAAGGCTAAGTGATGATAGCATTGGATGACTATTTGAAAAGATGTCATATTGATGATGCAAGCAAGGTTTTTTTCCTGCTCTTCTAGAATCAAGAGACACTCTGCTTAAACACTGCAAAAATATCCTGATGTTTGACAATGACATACACTGCCTTGAGGTATGGTAGAGTCTGTGTCTTTTGGAGCTTTTAAAACAGAGGCTGGATGACCATTTTTTGGGAATGTATGCCAGGGACTGGACTGGTTGTCCATTACTGTCTTTTCCAGCTCTATGATTCTATGACTTATGGTGACTCTATGAATAAAATTCCTGCCTATTATTAGCAACTCTGCTGAAGGTATGCAAACTCAGGGCTTTGGCTTCTTTACTTGGTTCTAACCATCTGCAAAGAGGCAAAGTAGAGGCAAAGATGAAGTACTTTGGCCACATCATGAGAAGAAAGGAAAGCTTACAGAAGAGAATGATGCTGGGGAAAATGGAAGGAAAAAGGAAGAGGGGCCGACCAAAGGAAAGATGGATGGCATCCTTGAAGTGACTGGCTTGACCTTGAAGGAGCTGGGGGCAGTGATGGCTGACAGGGAGCTCTGGCATGGGCTGGTCCATGAGGTCACGAAGAGTCAGAAATGACTGAACGAATGAACAACAACAACCATCTGCAATGTGGTCTTCTTTGCAAGAGAGAAATATAAAGTGAAGACGTCATTTTAAAACCTCAAGTAACATTTTGTGAATGGGGGAAAGGGGTGATACAATAAAAGTCTGGGAGGATCTGTATTGTAACCAAGTAAACGGATTACAATTGATGTACATCTGTGACCACATTCCTTTCTCGACATTGCTTTTGCTCCAGAAAACTGCAAAGCATTGTCAGATTCCCAGGAATAATATTGTATTGACTTTTGACTGCCCAAATGCACCTGCATGACAGCAGTAGGCACAGTTATTAGTGTATTGTACCAAACTATTCCTCATGAGTAGAGATATCACACTGGCAACGAAGATCCGCATAGTTAAAGCAATGGTATTCCCCATAGTAACCTATGGATGCAAGAGCTGGACCATAAGGAAGGCGGAGCGAAGGAAGATTGACGCTTTTGAACTGTGGTGCTGGAGGAAAATTCTAAGAGTGTCTTGGACCATGAGAAGATCAAACCAGTCCATACTTCAGGAAATAATGCCTGAGTGCTCACTGGAGGGAAGGATATTAGAGGCAAAGAGGAAGTACTTTGGCCACATAATGAGAAGACAGGAAAACTTGGGAAAGATAATGATGCTGGGGAAAAAGGAAGGAAAAAGGAAGAGGGGCCAATCAACGGCAAGATGGATGGAGGCAGGGGCGGCTCAACCCATTATGCAAAGTAAGCATTTGTGGTATGGTTGATTTTGCCCAGGGGCACTTTTGAGGTGCTCTTGGGGGAAAATAGACCTTGACATATGTGAGTTGTAGTTACTGGGATGTATAGTTCACCTACAATCAAAGAGCATTCTGAACTCCACCAATGATGGAATTGAACCAAAAATGGCACACAGAACTCCCACGACGAACAGAAAATATATATCAGTGATTGGTTTCCGGGGGGGGGGGGGGGGGGGGGGGGGGGGGGGGTGGAGATACTGTTTGCTTACCATTGAAAATTACCTAGGGCCGCCTCTGGATGGAGGTTATCCTTGAAACGACTGGCTTGGCCTTGAAGGAGCTGGGGGTGGTGACGGCCAACAGGGCGCTCTGGCGTGGGCTGGTCCATGAGGCCATGAAGAGTCGGAAGCAATTGAACGAATAAACAACAACATTACTAATGATTGGTGTGGATTTATTTTTGCATTTTTATAGCCACTTTGGACAGCTATTGAGAAATTTCTCAGTAACACTCTTGTATTTCTTTGAAACACACCTTTTTCAAGGTCTCACAAGGAATGATAGTGTTGCAAATGTGACACTTTATTTTCCAGATCACATTAAACTAAACTCTCAGCAAATTTCTATCTTGATGTCTAGCTGTGACTATTTATGGCATGTGTTGTTATAGTCAAGGTAGCATAAACATATTCCTGAAAAATAACAGTAGGTGTTTTCACCCTTTATTTAAATTGTCTACAAAGGTGATAACATCTGAAAATAATCAAGAAGGCTGTTCACATAAAGAGGTGCTAGCAATCTATGCTTCTTTTCCTCACAACTTCATAGAAGTTTAGATTAATATAACTTAATGCAAATTCTGACACATTTTCACTGTGTTTCCTCACCTCCACCTCGGTTATTTGCTGCTGGCTGTGAGGGCGAGATAGTGTTAACAAAGAGCTATTATGAATGCAAATATACACTAGATAAAATACTTCAACATTAGTGATAACAACAGCAAGTTAATTATAGCACATTTACAGGCACCATAACAAGTGAGCACAAGAGGCCTGAGGCTTGACAATTAATGTCTTTGCTTGTCATTGAAAAGACTCGGAGAGAAACTTTTAATGGAACTTTCTTGCCAAGGTATTTCAGAGGGACGGAACAACTACTGAGAAGACAATGGGTGGATCTACACTGTAGAATTAAGGCAGATTGACACCACTTTAATTGGCACAGCTCAATTCTATGGAATTTTGGGAGTTATTGTTTGGTGATGCACAAGCAGAAGTTGGCAGAAAAGGCTTAGGACCTTGAAAAATTCAAATTCCTATGATTTCATAGCATTGAGCCAGGGCAGTTGAAGTGGGACCAAAATGTATTAATTTACAATGAGAGGCATCCCTTCCCTTAGAATCCTTTTTTTATTGTATAATACATAGAAACATGCAACCTTCAAAATTAACAGTCAAAATACCAATATTTTCCCCAATCCCACCACATATACCCCACCCAGGAACAGTTAACTACTTTTGCTGTGCTTATTACAACTGTTTGATCATGAGCATAGTCTTATTTAACACCGCAT